ACTTTTTAACAAAGAATAAATTTTCGAAGACTTTTTTTAAATTTTAGCTCAATTCCGTTTTTCGGTTTCACAATTTCGGTTTCGGATCGAATAACGATAGCATACAGAGGAAATTCCCGTTACCTAAGTAGTATCGATACTTTGATTTTTCAGACGTAATATTTTTGTTCGACAGAGATAGGAAATCCAGCTCTTCTGCCATTAAACTAAATTTCTTCTAGCCTAGTTAAATTGATCTAGCAATGTTGCATAACCAAATAAATAAATAATAAATGCCCGTTATTTCCAAGTTTTCTTTTTTTAGATATGGAAATTTTCATTTATTTGCAGGTTGAAAATGATGGTATTTTATGATATCAGAATTTAGAAATCGAAAATTAAATATTTCCTTTCTAACAACACAGGACATTCCAAAGCATTCAGTAATGATATTTATTTTAGATTGTTTTATTCATTTTTCCTTAATTAGAACAGATTTTTTTTTGTTTTTTAGCCTTATGATACATTAGAGAATATGCCAGTATTGTCAATACCGATTAACGGCACTTACCCTTAAAAAGAAAATAAAAGGAATACCGGGTAAGAATATTTTGTGCTAGTAACATTAAAAGTACCAGGAAAGTGTGAAAGAAATTAATAATAATTTCTTTAAAATTAAATTTATCATAAGATGCGGTTATTAACAATTACAGTGATAAAAGTACGGCAGGACTGCGGGGCTATTATCTGATATTCAGAACACTGTTGCTCTATTTATGGTAAAGGGACCATTTCTCAGTTTAAACTTTTTTAGTATTCCCTACATAGTTCTATAAGGGTAAAGGGTCATTACTAGGTTAATACTTGTTCATTATGTTAACCCAACCCTGTTATTTTAAACTTAATAGTTTTTGTGAAACTATTAGATACGAGTATTTTTTAAATTTTTTTTTTTTAATTTTTGCGAAAAAAAAAGTTTTCTCCAGGTTTTGGAGGTCAACACTGATGATTATTCATAGAATTTTGAGAAAAACTAATTTTAAAAGTCGTAATACTTCTTGAGAAACGAGAGAATCAGGACACTAGCGATTATTTTATGTTCTACTACATTCATACTAACTGTTAGGATATAAATATTTTCAGTTTACCTTTGCATAGAAGGTCAAAGGTCATTCAAAACTCTTCGTAAAAACAAACCTTAAGTATAGCAGAAACAAAAACACGTCACAGCCCTGTGAGAACTCATTAAAATTTTATATAATATGGTCCTAAAATATGAGGCCCGTAACTGAATTCAGAATTAGTTATGGGAAAGTTGTAAATTGTTTTAATAAATGTGAATTGGGCCCAATTTGAATATCTGAAAAATAGCATCTCCCGAGGTGGGCTGCAATCTCAATTTAAAATTCACTGGAAGAGGAGAGCAAAGGAGAGATGGAACTTACACTTTGCTATCTAGATATTATGTTTCGATGTATTTTTTTTTTTTTTTTTGCGCTAAATCGAATAAAACCTCACCCAAGTCTATAGAAATAATAGAACAAAAGTTGTAAAAGCTTTTGATGATAAATAGTCCAGTACAATACTATGCAGACAAACTAGTGTAAAGTGCGGAGAAAACAAGACATCGGACCATCAGGTTTCGTTTCCGGATCTTTAGGTTTCTGGATTCAATCTTAAAGGTTCGAGGAGTTGACCTCAAATATGCTAATTAATTAATACATAAGATATTTTAAGTAACGAAATCAGACAAAAAAACGTACTTTCCTTAAATAAACATATATTTTTTCACATATTTGGATTCTTTACCTTCAAAATATAGGAGAGTAATCGCTATTTGGCAAATGTGGTTCCCATAGTTTGGTTAAGAAAGCGGTCCAACGTTTAGACCTCTTAATGTTAATTCGATTCTTTGCGTATTTCGTCATATTTCCTTGCAAAACATAACTTTAAGTAAAGATTTTTTATTTTTTATTATTTTATTTAAAAATTGTCAAAATTTTTTTTTTAATTGTAAGGTATACAATTTTTTCGCATAATTTAAAAAAAATAAAATTTTCAATAGCAAAATACAAAAATTTGAGGAAAATCGGTCAAACAGTTCTTGAGAAATCGAATTTTAAAAGTAAGTCTTCTTTAAAACTCGATTTCTCAGATGTTATTTGACCGATTTTGGCTCTCATTTCGTATCTTGCCATGTAAAATTACATTCTTTAAAATGATGTAAAAAATTTTATATTTCGCTATTCAAATTTCTTTCGACTATTATAAAATAAAACGAAAAGAAATTTATTAAAAGCTCTTTTTTGCATTTTATAATTGTGTCCTAATGTTTTTCAATTCATTTTTCGAGATATGGCGAAATGTGCAAAAAGTAAAATTAACATTAAGGGGTAAAAACTCTAAACAACTCTCCTCCCCCAAACTATGGGCACCACATTTCTCAGATTGCGATTACCGCCTATATTTTGAAGGTCAAAAATTCGAATCCGTTGAAAAAAAGTAGGGTTATTTAGAAAAAGTAAATTTGTTTGCTCTTAATTTGAAGTATCGTCCTCACTACTTAATTAGCATATTTGAGGTTACCCCCTCAAATCGTTAAGATTGAGTCATAGAACCTGACGATCCGATCATTAGATTTAGTTATTAAGGATGGTCCGTTTTTTACTTAGCGCACTGTACATGTACGTTTGATAACTTCTGTATTTACCATCGTAAACGAATGCCTTCAATCTGTGGATAATTCGCGTATGGAATGGCCAGCATTATCATCTGACTTGATTGAATCCAATAGAGCCTGTGTGGGACATACTTGGCCGACGAGTTGAACAACCACCTCCAACATGTGTACCGGAATTGTTTGTTGAGTGGAGAAATCTTTCCCAAAGATCAGCTTGTTGGTTTAATGCTCAATATGCCTGGGTGTTGTATGGACTGTATTTCATGGCTGCTACAACCAGCATACCAGCCATGTAATATTAAATATTTGTAAAGAATATATTTTTATAATTGCACCAGGGAGCAAAAACCCTAGTGTTTATGAATGGTTTCTTGTCCTTTATCTTCTGTTTAATAAATGGGTTTTATCAATAAGCCACGTTTGTTTCTGATCCTTTATTTGTCAAAGCTGGTGTTATCTTTAATTTATAAGCATGTGTGCATTTTAGAAGCCTAACAAATTTCTGAAATGTATAGTTTCAAAAGCCCAAATTTAAGAGAAATTCGGTTTAAATTAAAATTTTAGAATACATTTTACTTGTATTTAAAGTAGCAAAAGTTGAGTTCTTCGAGACAATAATAGAAGTATTGAGAATTGCCTGATTCTAGGCATTAAAAAATTATAAATAATGTTTTATACTATTTGGCACTCTTTTGTATCTCTGACTTGAACATAAATTGAAAAGTCAAATATTGTTAACTGAATTCGATATTCATATTTTTAAATCTTTATCATTCGATATTATAGACAGACTTTTTATATATCATATAATAAATATTTATTGTTAGTATTAATAATGGTAGAAAATAAAAAATCTTAATGCTGATTTTTGATTTGAGCTATTTAAAATAGGTACTACTTGATAAAATAAACTTACATTAAGGGTAGTTTGTTCTCTGTAAATGGAATTTCTAATAATAAAATTTCAAACATTCATTTTAAAATATTTTTCATTCTATATTCGAAGCTAAGTTGACTGAATCATTTATTCATATTTTTAAATCTTATTCCATCTATAAAGTAAATAGACTTCAAATATATTGGATAAATACTTATTGTTGATATAAGCAATAGTAAAAATCAAAAATCTGACAACTCGTATAGTATAGCATTATTTATAAAATACTACAAAATGAAAAACTGACATTCAAGGTAAAATCACTTTATGAAAAGAATTTCTAATAAAAAACCTCTAACATCCATTTTAAACTAGTCTATGTTCTAAACTGAAAAATATAATACTGTTTACTGAATCAGACTATCGTATATTTTTAAATCTTAATGGATGTTAATACTTTTAAATCGTAATGATTAGATATTAAAATAGACTTTTAATACACCAGATATATTTATTGTTGGATAGACTAGATTATATAATTATTGGTTTAAACAATGATTTTATTCGTATATACAATGATATGATTGGTCTGTGCAATATTATTGGTATAACCAATGATATGATTGGTTTGTGCAATATTATTGGTATAACCAATGATATTATTGGTATAACCAATGATATTATTGGTATAACCAATGATATTATTGGCATAACCAATGATATTCTTGGTATAAACAATGACATTCTTGGCATAAACAATAAAATTCTTCGTATTAACAATGATATTATTGGTATAACTAATGATATTGTTCGTATAACCAATGATATTATTGTTTGTATAACCAATGATATTATTGTTTGTATAGCCAATGATATTATTGTTTGTATAACCAATGATATTATTGTTTGCATAACCAATGATATTATTGTTTGCATAACCAATGGTAGAAGGTGTAAAATCTTAATATTTATTTAGTTTTGAATTTTTCAAAATACTACACATTGAAATAAACTTATAATCAGGGTAAGTACACGTTAGGAACAAAATTCTAATGAAAAAATCTCAAATATCCATTTTAAGCTATATATCAAATTGAAAAGTATAATATCGTTTACCAGAGCAGCCATTCGCACATTTTGAAATCTTAGCGGAAGTTAATACTTTTAAATTTTAATCATTAGATATTATAAATAGACCAGATAAATACTTATTGTTGGTATAAACAATGGTAGAGAAAGAAAATTTTTGCGACTTATTTGGTTTAGCATTTTTTAAAATACTACACATGAAATAAACTTACATTCAGGGTAAAAACAAGCTATGGAAGGAATTCCTAATAACAAAATTCCAAAAATACATTTTAAACTATATTCCATTCTTGTTTGACATTAAATGAATTATATTTTGCAATAGTAGACCGAAGAAATGTTCGCACTCCTGTGTATTAATTGTTATCTCTTTACCTGGTGATGTCACGTGACTTTTTCTGATAGACTGCTGCCACGAACCGTTTCAGAAACGCAAGCGAACCGTCACACATAAATTCAACATTTGCTTTTGGTATTATTTTTTTTTACTACATAAGTCGGAGTTTGAAAAGAATAGATCTAGTGTTTTTTTTCGTTTTAAACAAGACAATAGCCAGTTAGACTTTATTACTGGTAGAATGTAAAACAGAATAGGTTAAATTTTTTATTTTTCTATAATAAATTTAAGAAAAGAACGAAAGGAAACTATTTAAATCGAAACATTTTTGTTTAATTAAATTTTATTTTTCTATAATAAATTTAAGAAAAGAACGAAAGGAAACTATTTAAATCGAAACATTTTTGTTTAATTAAATTTTATCATATAATTTCAGTAGTAACTGTAAATATAACTCATTGATATCTCCCTTATGTAAAAAAAATAATTAATTGAATTTTTTTAATAAAAGTACCATTTTTTATACAATTATGTTTTATTAATTAATAATTTTAGTAGTATTTTTAACTATGTAATAGTTTTTTTCGCCGGACATTAAGGCAAAGGGGATGCGCTTCTTCTTGTTTTCCAGTGGCAACATCTAATCTATGACCAAAAATTTGACTTCTGCCACACACATACGTCTCAACCAGTTTATAGGGTGAATACATTCATACATCCACAGATCATAATTTTGACCTGAACCATAGAATGGCCAATCTCCAATTCAGTACCCCCAGAGGTATGATTTGCAATGGAAACATGGACGACTTTGTGAACCGACAGATTTAGCGTGCACCAGTCACACGAGGAGTCTTCGGCCCGAGGAAATCGAAAAAATGCTCTCTTGGATATGGGCCCAATGACCTATCAACAGGCTATCCCGGCCCTATTTTTAACTCTAATTGATCTGCGATGGCTCAGGGGATAGAGCGTCCACCTTCCAATGAGGCAAACCCGGTTCCAATCCCAGTCGATACGAATTCCGCATCCGGATTGCACCGACCACAGTGCTGGCGTGAAATATCCGCAGTGGTAGACGAATCATGGGTTAGAGTCCCCTTGCCGTCAGGCTAACCGTAAGAGGTTCTCGTGGTCTTCCTCTCCATGTAACGCAATAGCGGGTTAGCTCCCCCAAAAAGTCCTCCACGTAGGCAAATTTCTCCTAATACTCGATCCAGAGTTCCCTTGTCTTCTGGATTGGGTTTGAAATTACAAGGTTACGCAGTTGAACTTTAGTAGTCGTAAACCCGTAAAATTGGGTCGGCTGTTCAACGACGGTTATAAAATATAAAATAAAATGAAGAACATTTACAGATAATGGAATAAGAAAGATATTGGATTCAAAGAGTAATTTTGAAAAATATTTTATATAGAATTACTTTTCATATATAACTAGGTCCCGCAGTGGACTGATCGTTAAGACACGGTTCCCAGCAGATCACCGAAGTCAAGCATCACTGGCTGCGGTCAGTGTGCGGGTGGGTGACCACTTGGATCAGTCTGCGTAGGGACCGAGGGTGTGCGGTATTGGTCCTCGTTAAAATGTGCTACCGTAAGGTGCTCGACTTCGCGCGCAGGTCGTCGGGCTACCGAAGCGGGGGTGCCATCCCCTCCGCAGAGGATCAAAATTGTGATGGCATGTCTTCGGATCATCCTCCGGGATGTTTCCCAGACCGTCACCAATAGCCCATTGTGCAGCTCCAGTGCGACGTAAATTAACAACAACAACAACATGTATAACTAGTTTTAGCAATACTTTTAATTATAAATCTTTGATAAATATCCTCTACATGGTGAAAATAACGTTGGTTTTAATTTTTTTAGTTATTTTTATTTTTAATTATTCTAATTTTAGGTATTTTAATTTTAGATATTTTCTAATCACGTTTTGTTAATCAACTATGAGCAACAATACTAATTATAAATGCAATTGAAATAGCTCTCATTAACAAAAACAAATTTGATGCTATTAAAATTCTATTAAATTATAGTATTATTTATCAAAGATAGTTTTTTACATTTAATTTTGTTTCACTAATCAATTTTAGAAATACTATTCAAATAGGGGATAAAGAACCTTTTTATAATGCAAAGAGTTTAGTTAAAATCAATTGAAGAATGTTAATTTCTATATCATCATTTACATCATTAATAATTAAAGTATTAATTGCAAAATTATTTCATTATAATTGAAAAGAGCTTCAGGGCACACGAGTCGAACATTGGGCGAACATTCGAGGCAATCAACTTCAATTTGCACCTCATTGCTAAAACTACCCTTATGAAAATTTAAGGTATATTTAAGGTTGATTTGAGGTATTTTTGAGGTATTAAGGTTGTTTTGAGGTATATTTGAGGTATATTTAAGGTTGCAGAGAAAACAGAAATAAAAATTATACCTCGTAAAGGTTGTAATTAAGGTGTACGAGGTTGATTTATATATACTTCAGCTTGTTTTGAGGTTGTTTAAAATTCACTTCAAATCATCCAGACTGATAAGGTGATTTTTAAGGTATACCAGGTTTATTTTCTTACATTTGTAACAAAAGAGGTATTTTTGAGGTGTAAAATTTTTTACCTTATTTCAACTAAAAAGAGTGAGATATTTATTGAGGTATATGAAGTCATTTTATTT